GACCGCGCCACCGCGCTGCTATAACCCACCGCGGTAACCAGAGTCTCGATCTCCTAAATACTACCGATACCGACTATTCACACTTGACGTCACTCCTTACGTCACCTCCGTTTTCGGAGGCCCAGAAACGAGACTGGAGATGGTTCAGTTTCGGTTTCTTTACTTCTTTCGTAGGCACATAAATACGCGTCATAAATGTCTACAAAAAATTGGGCGGCATGCTATGTCCCCAAGAAGCATTAAAACACCATTTAAAAAAATTAAATAAAATCGTCTTCATTGTCCCTTTAAGCCTTTTCCTTTCTTTACTTTTTCCTCACGGAAGTTTGCTCTGCGAATTTCATAGAAAAAAATGCACCACCCGTGGGCAACACTGCACAAAATCGTAGCGCGTGTGGGAACCATGGGGTTCCCTCTATCCCTATCCAGGCCTAGCTTCGAGCAGGCCGTGGGAGTCGTCGTCAGCAACGGCGTCGGCCTCCCGGATACAAGGAACCACGAGGCCGAATTCCCCGAAGGGGCCGGCTCTCCCTTGTCCGTTTGGGAGAACGCGCCTTCGGCACACCCTTGAGAGCTATCATGGACGCGACTGCTAGTAGCCTCCCCGGGCGCGTCCATTCTCCGAGGCTACATAAGCTGGCCCCGAAGGAGTGCCAGGGGCTCTCGTCGGCGGAGGCCCTGGCTCTACGGAGCTCGGTTTTTCTTTGAGGGCCTCCGACTTCCCGTGAATCTGTCTAATGCGGCAGCGCGGGAAACCGACCGGGTGATACTGGCAATTGAGCCAGCGCCCAGAGTTTTCATTGTCTAAGAGCGAAGCGTGCTGGCATTTCAGTCAATAAACACGTCTTTATCCGGACCCGAGGAACCTTTTGTGTTTCTAAGTGGGACCCCGCCACAAAGGGGAATCCCACACGCGATAGGTCAGGAAGCCGAATTTTGCGGCCGATTTAAAGAACCTCACCGCTCTTTGAGACACCCGATATAGAAGTAAGCGAACTCGTCCCGGAAGCGAGTTTTCGACAGGTCTCGTGAACGCTGATATTCAAGACCTTGACTAATTCTCTTTTTTTTTTTTTTTTCATTTTAAATTTAGGACAACCGCCAGTTGCGCACTAAATATGAGCGGAACAAAGAAATCTTCGATACAACTGTTTTTCCCGTAGTATATCGAGGATTCAGTTGATTATACTTCTACACCCACGCTTAAAGGGGTACTCCCGCATTTTCTTTACAGTCCTCAATTCGCTTGAAAAGTTTCTAAACACACCAACAGATACGGCTGAAATAGTAACCATAAAATAGGTAAAAAAAGAAATTCTTTCCCGAGGTTGTTGTATTAAAAATTTTGGTTTTTACCGCGTTTTTTTTAAAGTGAAAATTTCTACTGGCTGCAATGAAAAGGTGACGTCAGGGGAAGGCAAGGATCCACTCTTTGGACTGTAGACTTTGTTACCAACTGATTGCAAGCAGTTTTATAATGTCAAAGGAATGCTTTGGAAGCTCGCTCCAGTACTCGCGCACCAGCACGAAACAACTATTCGGCATAGTCCATTTTTAGACCGCCCTCTCGACCTGCAAGCCTGCCTTCTCCTGACGTCACGGCACCGAGAAGCGCAGGTATTTTTGAATGTTGGTTTTGGCGGCTTTTTCGCTTGCAAATTCCACAAAAAAAAAAAAAAAAAAAAAACTATTGTGAATTTTTCGACACTAAATAACATACCGGAAAGGGTAAAGGCCGGTGGTTCCAAAAATAGAGCTAGTGAGAGAAACAAAAAGAAAAAAAAGAAAGAAGAAACGGTTAGAGTATCTCTTTATGTGCTTCGCTTTCGTGATATCTAATCCTAAAGGCATTAGAGAACTTTTTAACGCCGTATTTGAAGCAGGTGAGTCTCATTTTTTTTTTTTTAATTGTGACGACTGCTAATGGCGATCGCTCTGTATTAAGCATAGTAGCGGCTCCCACAAGAGAATCTGGGATTGAGGAGCCGATACTCTGAGCTTCTTTCGGCTTTTATGGCTTAAGCAATATATCCTTTCCGAAATTGTGAAATAATGCATATATTATGCGCGGCCGCCATTAATTAGTCTCATCACTTCCGGCGTGAAGCCCGTGATTGGTTCCGAGTTCGCGCCGAGCCATGACGCAGCACTTGAATGGAATGCGTTTGGGTCCGAGAACAGTCCGAATGCTGATGAAGCACTCGTGTCCAATGAGGGCTCACAGTGCATGGCTGACTAATGGAGATCGCACAGAACCTATGCATCATTCTGAAATTTCGAAAAGTGTCTATTACATGCTTTCGAGTAGTAGATACGGTGCTGGCAGCACGAATCAAAATATCCCTTTGCTCTGTGTTGAACCGTTTCAGCGAGCACATCAACAAAAAACATTTTGGAGCGCAGATATTAGGAGCCCGTTTCCGGGTTGAGCGGCGTCGGCGTCGGCGTCGGCGTAAACGCGCGCGTTGCATTATGGGACGTCACAGTATCCCCGCTAAATTTAGCGGGGAAACTGAATTGGGTGTTGAGGTCACGCGGCGTCAATTTCCCTGCTAAATTTAAAGGGGGAAACTTAATCCGTTAATTTTAGTGGGGAAACATTCACTACATTTCCCACTAAATGGGAGGGGAGGAGGAGAGGAAGAGGGGAGGGTGCGGAGGGGGAGGAGAGGTATACCCTCCCCTCCGTATACTCTCCCGTCCTCCTCCTCAAGAACTGCGCTCTTATTCCACATTCCAGAGAATTGTAAACGTCTTTCATTTTTCACTCAAATATGACAGTGCGGAATTATTTTACTCAAGTATGACACTGTACTATTTTTCACTCAAATATGACATTGCGCTATCTTTCACTCAAATAATGGATTGCGCTATTTTTCACTCAAGTATGAGATTGCGCGAATTTTCACTGAAATACGAGATTGGGCTATATTTTTTTACATCTTCCATCACGCACGTCGGGAAAAGCTAGTGACGACTGGCAACATTGATTCTTCGTACTCAGCAGTATTATGGTGCCTGGAGCGGGTCTTCGACTGGTGTGTTTAGCGTCCTATCCCGCCCATACATCAAAAGTGGTCCCCAGGTGGCAACAAATGACGCCACACAAGCCGGAGTGTCATGCTGTTGCCTGTCGCGATCCTGGCGGTTGGCCGTAGAAATGCTGGTGAAAAGCACGAGCGAACACGAGTGTTGCTGTCATCACGGCGTCCCAGGCGTCCCAACTTCTGGCTGCTTTAACTTCCGTGGACTGTTACAGTGCAAAGCGACCTGCAGCAGCACAGGCGTCTGCCAAAAACACCACAACTGTTGAGACGCCGCCAGGATCACGATCGGCGACAGCATGACACTTGTATGACGTCATCAGGCGGAAATCGAGGGACCACTTTTTTGAGGCGGTAAACACACCCGTCGGAGACGCGTTCCAGGCACCATAGCAGTATGGACGAAGTGTAATAATAAATGCCTGTTAACACGTAGAGCGCAGTGCTAACTCAGCGCTATTCGCCTTTTTTTGTCTGGCAACAAAATCAGTGGCGCACTTCCGGCACACTTCCGGTTCAAATATATTTCCTCATTTTTTTACTCATCATTATTTTATGATGACAGTGAATTAAGTATGACAGTTCTATAAGTGGCAATTTACGGAAAATAGCGTGCATATTTGGTTTCGCAAATACTGCGGAAACCGCCTTCTATGCAACGTGTCACTAGTTGCGTGCAGTACAGGCGAAGGCAAGGCCAGGTGAGGGGAGAAAGGGAAAGCATTAGGAGGGCCGGGGAGGAAGAGAGAAACCTCCTTTCCACTTTAACGTTCCCAGTGCTCTCCATTTCTCCCCTCGCCCTCCATTGCCCTCCTCTCCCGTCCCGCTTTCCTAGTGCGATCGTCCTTTCTCTCTTCGCCTGCACTGCACATAAGTAGTGACACGGAACACAGTTCATAACCGGAAGTGGTTTGGGGCTATTTGCACACTGTCACCACCACGTTTCAACTCACGCGAGAAAGACGGAATATCAACTGTGCATCGACGTTTCGGTGCATAGAAGATTCCCTTTTTGCAGCGAAGCTGTATACCTCCCAAGGAAATGTTCGTGTCGTTGGCGTTGTAAGTACAAACCTCCCGGCGAACAATCGAAGGCAAACCAGCATATCTTTCTTGCAATCAGGCGTAGAGCATACAGCTCAGTACCCGTTTCAATAAAGAACACCACAAAATAAGAATCAACAAAACAAGCATCGAAACCACATGATGGACTTAAAGGCGCGTGTAAACAAAAGGAACACCCTCCCCCGCGTTCCGGTAAAGATTAGGTTTGCAGCTGCTTCGAAAGGCCTTGACGTCATTAGCCGCCGCGGCGACGGCAGCATGGACGTGGGGAGTGACGTCACTAGCCTTTCATGTATAAAAGAACCCGACTATACCCCATTTCACCTTACGTCCGGACGCAGCGGACGCTACGAGCTTTCTTAGCCAATCCCGTTCTGTGGACGTGGCCAGGGATACGCTTTCCGCGCGCCGCTGCGCCCCCTCTGTAGGGTCACGTGACACTCACTCGGCCTCCGATTGGCTCCGACGGCTCGTAACATCCACTGCGCTTAAACCTAAGATGAAACGGAGTATAGCAACTGCTTCCATTGTTGCTGGAGCACCGCGATGAATAGGCCACGCATAGTTGGGACTCCCGAGGAGCAGCGTGAATACTAGGAGCGGCAAAAAGGAAAAGAAACGGCAATACGACCAGCGGCGGCATTTCGTGTAGTGCAGTAGGCAATCGTTGCAGGTGACACCACAGCTTCGCTGACCAACCACCTTCAGGGCGTGGATCTTGCAGCCCCAACTTTTTTTCTGGCTTACACACCATACTGAGCAGCTCTAACTCAGCGCTGACTCAGCACTGACAGCAGCACTGATGCATTACTGGCGTCACGTTATCTCAGCGCTGAGTAGCAATGTGTAGACCGGCCGTAAAGCCTGACTTAGTTGGGGTTCTAAACTCACCGATCTTCTTGAGGCGTTCCAATTCTTCCTCTGGCATGGTGTGCAACCTGTGGGGCAAGGATCCGTCCAACGATCGCGGTGCTGTCAGCACAGGCTCGATGCGAGTGACAGCGTCCACCATTCCTGTCTGGCGAACATTATATCCGACGGAGCAGAAAGAAATACAACAGATTTGTTAGTTCGTGGGACAGTTAACGCGAAAACAGCAACAGACCTTTTCCGTTTGTTGCATTTCCCTCAATGAAAGCAATGGTTAACATGTTTTACACCTTAAGTTCGTGACACAAACTTACACATTCTATCAAATACTACTAATTTTAATGACTAGCATTTGATGTCTCATACAAGTTAACATAAATTAAGAACCCCCGCTTGTCATGTAATAACTGTATCACCCTGGTAACTTCCCTAAAGAACATTCTACGGAGCAGACCAAAATACAAAAATACTGTGAAGTTCTATGCGCAGAACAGTTAGAAGGAACACAAGACGATTTATGTTCAGCCTTTTTCTGAGAGGATCATTAAGAAACAAAAAAAGTTTTACGGCATAAGTTTGCGACCAAAACGCGCACATTCCGCAGTACAGCTAATTTCAATGAATGAGTGTATCTATTAATTTTTGAAAGTGGATAACAATAAACACCGGCGACTACTTGTTTTGTGGCAAATGTAGCGTCATGTGATACTCATTAGATTCTACTTTTCCAGTCGGTTTAGAGATGCACAGTATTGTTTTCTAAAGAATCATTCTCTTCGATGTTTTTCAAGCTAGAAGGTAAAGCAATCCCCACTGCTATACGTCTTGTTGAGTGGTATAAAGTAAAGTGCTTTTCCTTTCAGCTTTTCAAGTCGAACAGGATTTGAATAGATCGAATGATAATTTAAAATGTAATTCTCATTGAACACCCAAGAAAGAAAACAAAAAACTTGATATTGTTTCGAAATATCTTGTTAAGAACTCTTCAATATATTTAGAGCTATGATGATTCTTTCCGATAAACATCCACTATAAGCCCTGTTTGTACGTCTGCTGTTTCACTGGCTGGTGAAGTCATCTGTAAACACCCTACACATACACCGGCCGCTACCATTGCAAAGCTCAGAAAATACTAATAACTGATTATGAGTGCAATGTTGTACACTGCTGGTTTCTTTAGATCTGTTATGAAATTGATCTTTAGATATGTTAAGTTATATAAATGAAATGTTATGGACCGTTATTACATACTGAAAACCTTAAGCACTTTCCACGACTCCTGAAGACAATATAATAATCACAACTACAGCGAACAGTTTGTTTATTGTATTTTTTACATTTTCCCTTAAATATCATTTCCGCGGAACCTTTTAGAGGGTATGGTTGACCTTGCGCAGGGGCGAAATGCCTCAAAGACGTCATGAGGCAGCTGCGTTAACCACTCGATAACAACCAGGCTTCTAAGGTCTTCATTACGTCAACTAGTTCGCGATGAAGCCTAAAAGTCACTCATTGGTCTCGCTTTATTTAATAAAATCGATAAAAATAATAAACAGTATCTTACATCAATGATCTCTTATTTCTGCTGAAACCGAGTTGTTATTGGTTATCGATGCCGATTAACCTTTTTCGTTGGCTCATCTCATTAAAGAAAGACACGTAAGTGGTGTTCTCACTGCATGACATATCAGTCTACGTAATAAAAAAAAAATAAAAAAACTTTCGGTAATTACGGGTTTGAAGAAAGCAAAAACACGAAAATTTAATCGCTGGGGGCTTACGAAACGCAAGGATTCAAGCTGTTCTTATCGGATAATTTCGCAGTATTATTGACCCCGAGACAGTCATAATAGTGCACCCGATACAGACCGCACCCTGTATTTCTGAAGTTGTCCATGAAGATGATAGTGACGATGATAGTGACAATCAAAGACGCCGTTCGCACTTCTATTTTCTATAGTATTTGAAGCTCAATGATCAAATAAGTATGTTAATTATGGCGCTAAACGCAGTATGAATATTACCATTTCGAGGCCATCTGCTGTGTCGTGCACCATTAAAGAGGCGTATCGGTCGCGGTCACGGTAGTGGTGCTTCTCAATTTCTTCGGCTTGAATCTAAAATGACGAAAATAAAGGCGCATATGTATTTAATGAATTCGCGTAAATTATCACCAACCACCCTGTGAACGTCTCTTAGAGCGACTTTTGAACTAGATTTTATTTCAACCTTACGGGATAAATTAATTGGACACGTCAGAAAGAGGAACACCAGAAATAGTTGGTTTAGTTTTGATATTGTCTGAAGGTGATCATGACGTCATCCGGTTTGAAAAATCGCGTATCGGACATGGCGTGTACTCACTGGCGTGTGCGTCATTTGCCCGTTTTCGTCGTATGATGTCACAAGTAGGGTCTCGGCTAGGACGGACGCCTTCTCAAGCCTCAGGGTCGTCTTCCCGTCGACGGACACCACCTTGAGGCCATCGGAAGATCTCGCCTCCAGTATACGCGGGTACACGTAGGCCTCTTCAATCCTGGCTCCTGGAAAAAAATTGTTTGCTGAGCTTGGTAAAGACTGGAAAGCACAGTGTGCGTGTTGCAGATGAGCTGGACCACGCTATGTGTATGTGTGTGGGGGACGTCAAGTGACGTGATGATGTCACACAACTGTTGCGTCACATGCCGCCAGGGTGGCACGCGAGTGTACGACGTCACATGGTTTTATGACATTACTTGTGTTCACAAAGTCCCGTGACCTCAGGACGTCACGTGACGTCATGATATTACTTAATGCCACACTTCTTTGTGAAGGTTCTTGGTGACTGGTCTTTGTGACGAATTCTTCATGACGGCTTTTTATGACGGTCTTTTCTACGTTAAAAATAAATAGACTTCACAAGGAAATAAATCCTGAGAATGAGATCAATACGCACACAGGACAACATTCACACACAATAGCCTGAAGCACTTCATACTGCACCATTTTCGCTCGTTAGTTTCAACAAGGTTTGAAGGTTATTCTACTATATGCAAATCCGTAGGCGTAACTCTAACGCTTAGGCTAGAGTCTGTTCAAGGACGCTTTTTAAGAATTGTTTGCGATCGCACAAAGGCCTAGCGTTTTTGCTGATTGTGTGCATTACTTAGAAACTCTTGGTCTTGATCCTTTCGTTCGGATAGGAGGCTAGTCGTTGACAGGTTAAGAGTTCAGGCCGAGGGAAAAGAAGGCTGAGGAGGAGGAAGCAGGCGGAACAACGGAGCAAGAAGGATGTTTCCTCCTCTCTTCTCCAGCAATCCATCTGCTTCCTACTCCCCAGCCTTCATTTCCCTCGCCCTGAACTCTTAAGCTGTCACTGATTATAGTTCGTGATACGGTCCTCCTGTGATGAGGTGCTGATCGCTGTTGGTGATTCTCCGCTGCGAATGATCAATACGTTTTGCCTCCTAGGCTGTAACGTTTTGATTCGGTGGCGGAATTAAAAGATAATACATTCGAATAAAAGTTTGGCGCACCGCATCGTTAACCCCGTCGTAGAACGCAAACCGCGTTCTCTTCAGGTGTTTATTTACCTTGGAAAACAGCCAAACGTTATGTTGCGCAATGTCAAGGCTGCAATGTGAATGAGGCAAAACATATTGAAACTGCATCTTCTCCATTGCGGCGTTAGTCTAACAGACGACCTCAATCATCTACGACGGTATGCGGAGAATAGTGCACCGGTAGCGAAAATGCATCATCGCCATGGGGACTATATTGAAAAGTTATCTGCTCCTGGGAAAATGGAGATTCCACACTTTCATTCGAATGTAACATCTTTCAATTCCATCGCCCAATAAAAAAGTTACAGCCTCGGAGGCAAAACGTGTTGACCACCCATTCTATAATCTAATTTAACTATCCCCGACGACAAAATAGGTCTACGACTTTACTATACACCCTAAGAAATGCCTGTGCGTATACTTACCCGCAAAACACTCAAAGAGCCAATCTCTGCGATCTACGAAATCAGCTCAGCAAATGATGAGGCGCAACATTCATTTAGACCTAAAAATGAAGTTTGCGCTCTGGCATTACGCAATGCAAAGCGTCATCCTAGCATTTCGTAATGTTACAGCGCAGAACTAATTTTGAGGTCTAAACAGATGCTCCACCTCATCATTCGCTGAGCTGATTTCGTAGATTGCGGAGACGGGCTCTTCGAGTGTTTTGGGGGCAAGTAGACGCGCAGGCATTTGTTAGAGTGTACGCTTAGTTGCAGACTTGGACGTAGTTCAACTACTCTACTCAAACTACTGTAGTTTAACTACTTTTTCGAGTAACTTGGTAACTTTCAATTACAACTTGATTTGGGTAATTAGTAGTTTAATTTAACTACTTTTTCAGGTAACTTCTACTCAAATTACTAACTACTTTCGAAATTTAATAGTGCTAATTTTGCCGATCACGAAAGTTTGAGCGCAGAAATGAATAAGACGCCGGCAGATAAAGTGGCATTCCCTAACAAGAGGCCCCCTGTTCGGGAAGGCGTCCTTGGGTCAAGGTGGCGACGAGCAGCCAAAACATAACACCGGCACGCACGAACGCAGGAAGAGATGCTTAACAAGCCTTGGTCGGGTATTGACCTAATCCGGTAATGCACGCAGGCGCCGCGTTTCCAGCTGCAACCGTGAAAGACGGGGACACTCCGAGAGTTTTTGTCTCTCTTTAGTGAGTTCTGACTCAAGCGGTAGGTTCCACGGGAGGCGCCACTGGAATGACCTCGCAGCTGGGGGCCTGTTCCCATGGTCGCCTTGTCGTCAGCGCATACGCCTTTGCAAAGCCGGACTCCCCCGCGCACAAACCCTGGCACGGATAATCCGTTCATGGGAGCACGTTCCCGCTTCCAGCTGCAACTGTATATGAGCGACGATGCTTGTTCACGTAATTCTTCGCGTCCTTCCGACCATCCATGCCTGGGAGACCTCCTCTTTGTTGAAAACGATTTACTTGTCAGGCGTGTCAGGCGCGTCAGAATATTGTAGTCGCCGGCGAGGATTGCGAGTTACCCTTGGGAGATCCTTTTGTTGGACCCGGCGTCAGCGGCGAAGTATACTTTGGTTCATCTTCTGTTAAACCAAAACATTTTTTTTCCAGTAGCGTACCACTAGCACTACAACGGAACGCGCAGTCGTCCGGATGATCTCATCGTCGTATCGCGAGACTTGAACCCTTGAAGGTCTGGTGCACTCTATCAGCGTACTCTCAGAAGGACGTCGGAATAAAGAGGGGCCAGTCATAAGAATCTCAACTTGGCGAAGAAAAAAGAAAAAAGGAGGAAAGTTTGTTATAAAAGATCCTCTACCCGAGGCAAGCCTCACATGTTCCGCCATGGACACCTAAGATGCCGACACTCGCTTACCCGACCCTGCACAGCCTGTTTCTCAAATTCAACGCTGCCGTTCCATTCAGTGCAACGGTGGAACGTCTATTTAGCTTGGCTGGGGACGTCTTTAGAAGAAAAAGGGGAAAATTCTCCTATCAAGAACTTTGAAAGTCAATTGTTTCTGCGAGCGAATAAACTATTTCGGCGAAAACGCAAGCTATAAATAGACTGCATTTATTTTAGACTCGCAGGGTTTTTCATTGATCAAAACTGCTGTTCATTTTGCTTCCACAAAAATATAAAAAAAGTAACTTCGAAAGTAACTTCAAAGTAACTCGCTACTTTTTAGAGTAGTTAGTAGTTTACTCAATTTCTATTACATATGCGTAATTTCTACTCTACTCCAATTACTTTTGGCGTCGATACTCAGTAACTTAACTTAACTACCTTATTTGAGTAATTTGTACATGTCTGCGTTAGTTGTGACTCGATTCCCGAGGAAAATATAGGTCTACGACTTTTCTTTACGTATAATTGTGACTCAATATTGGGTCACGCATTGTTCAAAATGGAGAGTTCAATAACTATGAAGGTGACTTCATTACTACTTTATTGCAAAGCATTCGGAGGGCCAATCACTGGGCGCTATGCACTGGACTCCCGCCGAGCGACTCGATGAACATGTCGGTTGACTCGGATATACAAGCTGCGAAGCTGCTACGATTCGTGGCGTTATGACTTAAGGTAGCACCTGCGCAAATGGCGTCCACTATGGTTTCTGACAACTTAAGAAACATAATTTGTGGTGAGTCACGAGCATCTTATGATATCTCCGCAGCCAATCAGAATCCGGCATTAGCCGATAAGGTTGCCGAAGGACCAACCGCGAAGCAAGGATCGTGAACATAGTAAACCACCCCCTGCTTTCTAATGGGGCACTTGAGCACATTCTGAGATTGTCTATACACAGTGGTGATTGAATCTACGGGCTCTAAGCATCCTAAAGAGAAAACAACAGAAATTGCACTTTTGAGCGGACGATTTACTTATTGAAAATCTAATCAAAGCTTGTGACATAGCCCTTTTGCTGCATCTTAATTGGAGCAGACACCAGGAGGCGCCGTCCGACGGCGTGTTTAAACAATAATTACTGTATTACGTATCTTAAACCCAAAGATTTTACTTTTTTTTTGTTTCAAAATAGAACGCACAACCCGTTTCAAAAGAGCAATGTTAATATAGTTAAGAATCCTCACGGAGTTAACTATTTTCATTAATGAAATTTTAGGTAGGTGGTAGGGACCCAAAAAGCCCCTTTAAACTGCCATCTACGACTGGTAATTTTTATTGGTTGAAGTCCGACAAGCAATATGCAATTAAAAATAAGCTTTTGCAAAAAGCACTTCAATGCCCCTTTAAGCTTCCAGATATAGGAGTTGAAATTTTTACCCTACCTGTAGCAGTGCCCAACAGGCAGATGGCAACTTTCCAGACAAGCATCCCGGTGTTTCTGCCTCGGTCTCGTTGACTGATTCGTGACAATGGGAAAGCCTCCAGGTTGTGCGGCAGCTCAGCTCTTTGCTTTTAAACTTCCAGTCTCTGACGTCTAAGGTCTGATTCCTGAATTTAGGACTTTCTACCCTTTCAAAGATAGTAAAGAGCGCCTTTAAAAAATAAAAAAAAACTTATTTTTTGGTAAAGGATGAGGAGAAAATACCGACACAACCTTTGTCACAGGAACAAAGGCTTTTCATTTATATATTTATTTTCAATATCCTGACTCGCTCATTTCTGGGCTTTACATGAAAGGGGAGAGGGGGAGGGGAAATTACAAAGAAAAAAATTAAAGACGTTAACAACTCCCTCTAACGCCGAATCAGAGCGAAGCTCTTAAGGAGGATGATGGGAGAGTTCGGAGGGGAGAGAATGCCCCTCTCCTCTTCCTCTCCTGCTCCCCTCCCATTTAGCGGGAGATTTTGACCACATTTCCCGCTAAATCTTGTGGAAATAATTCTCCGCTAAATATAGCGAAAAAATGTTTTCTTTAAATTTAGCGGGGAATTTTTTCCCGCTAAATATAGGGGAAAAAAATTCCCACCTCCTCCTCCTCATCCCTTGTGACTCTCGTGACTTCACACGTGACGTCACATGTGATGTCATTAGGGGAAGCGACCCATAATGCAACGCGCGGTTACGCCGGCAGATACGGCGACTGCGACGGCGACGGCGCCCAAGCCGGAAACGGGCGGCTAAGAGCTACGCTCTAAAAACAGTTCTACAAAGCAGGTCACATCACGCACTGAGCATTCAGGTAGGTCGTGCGCAGACGTGTACCGTACGCATTACAAGCAATCAAATTACTTGTAATCGATACGTTTTGGAGTAATTTTGCAATCAGTTGATTACTTTTATTAGGCAGTGATCACAAGAGTAGTCTGATTACTTTTTGAAGTAATAAAATTACTTGTAACCGTTACAATTTGTCCACGGGAACCCCCCCCCCCCCCCCCCTGGCACACGCCTTTTTTTTAATGAAATAACAAAAATAAAATTTGCTTTTTTTTTTCGAACGGAAAAGAGGAAGATTTTTGCGGGGCTGTAGGAAACGAGGTCAATCACTTTCTATGTACAGTTTCTGTGGAATGGCCTTTTTTTTTTTTTTCGCGCTGGGACTGGGTGTGGGAAGCTCCAGGGAAGCCACAGTGCGTGACAAAGGCCATTCGGGGAGAAGTCTGAGGAAGCAGAATGTAGCTTTGTGAGTCCTCCGTTCAAACTAGCCCCCTCACGCACACACACACAGAAATAAAAAAATAAAATAAATCCTGCTTAGGGTACCTACTCGCAGCCCGTAGGAGAACCAGAACCGAAGAATGCCTAAAGCGGGTGCAAAATAGAACAAAGGCAGTTGAAATATTTCCCCATTTCCCCTACGTGGTCTTTGTGACAAGCAATGTTTCGACTTGAGAAGTGGTCGGGGCGATCTCTTCCGCTAATGGATACTACACATGATCCGTTTCGAATCCTGGAGCTGCTGCTCTTTTCTATAACATGCAAGCTCATCCACATGTGAATAATAAAATGAGCGACGCAAACTTTGAGCGACAAACCGTGCTCAAGCTTAACAAGATCTAGAACCCCCTCCGTTCTCCCGCCACCCCCTCCCCCCCCCCCCCCCCCCCCCCCCCACACACACACACTGGCGAACGCCCAAATCATTAAACGTCTTCAAACGAATTCTATGCTTGTGTCCGCATTGTGAAGGTGCAGCGACCACGAAGAGGGGGCCAGTTTTTCTTCTTCAATACTTGTGCAAATGTGAAATATAGGTTGGAAGTAGTTCATTGTTATGAGCGCTAAAGATGTGTCTTCACACGATGAAGTAATCGGAAAAGTAACGATTACTTCTTTAAGTAATGTCGCATTACTTTTGCCGCCGAGTAATCAAGTAATCTAATCGAATACTTTTTAGCCAAGAGTAATAGTAATTGTAATCGATTACTTTTTTTTAGTAACGTGTACAAGACTGGTCGTGCGTCCTCAACCCCTCTCTGAAATTATCAGTGTTAGATTTTGTAACGATGGCGTCAGGCAGCTTGTTTTATAGTACAATAGACAGTTGTAATGGTAAGTGCACTGTAAACTTTTTAGAGCGCAGCTCTTAGGCACCCGTTTCTGGCTTGAGCGGCGTCTGCGTCTGCGTCGCCATGTGCGTCGCCGTGTGCGTCGCCGTGAGCGTCGCCGTCTGCGTTGCCGTCTGCGTTGCCGTCTGCGTTGCCGTCTGCGTCGCCGTCTGCGTAGCCTTCGCCGTCTGCTTGGCCTTCGCCGTCTGCGTCGTCGTCGCCGTAACCGCGCGTTGCATTATGCGATGTTTCCATAATAACGTCAGACGTGACGTTACGTGTGAAGTCACGAGGGTCACGAGTGACGTCATGTGAAACGTCATGAGAGTGACGTCCCAAAACACCTAAATTTAGCGGAAATATTTTCCCGCTAAGTTTGGCGGGAAAATTTTTCCGCTAAATGTAGCGGAAAATTTGCCCCGCTAAATTTAGCGGAGATCGTGGTGAAAAATTCCCCGCTAAAGTAATCAGAAAAGTTTCCCGCTAAATCTAGCGGAAAAAAATTCCCAGCCAAATTTTGCGGAACATTTTGCCCGCCCAATTTAGCGGACAAATTTCTCCGCTAACTTTACCGGAAAAGCTTCCCTGCTAAATATAGCGGAAAAATTTCCCCGCTAAACTTAGCGGAAAAATTTTCTTGCTATATTTCGCGGAAAATTTTCCCCGCTTAATTTGGCGAAATTATTTTCCCGTTAAATTTAGCAGAAACAATTTTGCGCTAAGTTTAGCAAAAACGTTTTCCTGCAAAATTTAGTGAAAGTTTTTCCCGCTATATTTAGCGGAAAAATTAATCTTCGCTAAATATAGCAGAAAAAATCTCCTCGAAATTTAGCGAGAAACTTTCCCCACTAAATTTAGCGGAAACATTTTGCCGCTAAATTTAGCGGGGGAGTTTTTCCGCTCAATTTGACGAGGCAAATCTTGTCTGACAGTTGGATGGCGAACTATATACGTCGTGATTATGCGCCAGTCTCGTTTTTTTCTCAAGATTTAGCATGTTACAACTAACAAAGAAATAGAACAAGCACCTGGTCCTTGCTTTGGCTACTATGATTTATACGAAGATATAAAGTATTAATTGGAACATCTTGGCCAGTTTAGAGCATTAGCTCGGGTAAATAATGCATTTCTTACCAACACCTAATAGTAAGCATTGTTCAAACTGTTTTGCATTGAATATAACTGTTCAAGCCTTTGTTTGTTTTCGCTATGGACTTAGTCTCTCTGCTGTAAATGTTGCGGATAGAATTGTTTCAGCCATCATAAGATATGTCGTTTCAATCTCATAAGTTACAGTGCTTCTGTGGTGTTAAAGTTCCATGTTGGCTTTCAGGGCGTAGAAATTAGGGTCAGAACCCAAGATTGTCCCTTTTGTGGAGCCTTTGGGGCCGTTGCTTGAATTAAGTTTTTGCGTAGACCCTTGATATTTCGATTTTATATCGCATGCATTCCCGGCCGAGCAGAAACTGCCATTGGTTATACAGATTCTCATTTGAGTTCGCTCAAGCCACATAGTCTCTATTGTCCATGGTTCCGAGGTTCACCTTTTATAACAACCATAGAGCGGCAGTTATTGTAGGAAACCTACCTTGGGGGGGGGGGGGGGGGACTTTAAGGGTGTTGATGGGAGGTTACGTTTATATTTTAGCAGTACATTAAAACAAGTTATTCATGTTGCTGTCAGTGGCATTTTAATGTTGCATGAATAACAGGCGTGTCGCAAGGTTATCCATTAATGTCATGTTTCTCTGGGTTAATTTTTTTACAACCTGGTCAATCAAATTAACGGTTGGACAAGAACATTACTGCAGTTCCAAAACATATGTAGGCAAACAGCTACAGACAGACTGTTACGGTGTAGGGCTCTGGCTAACTAACATGTTTGTGGTCTTGCTACTATTTGGGTGCATGACGTAAGGTGGGGTGATGAAACCTGCAGAATATTTAATTGCCACACTTTACGTACACGCCTGGCACTTAATATTGATTCTTTTATGACGCTACCTGAAATATACACATGAAAGTGGTTGTCCTAAAATTAAGCTGCAGTGCTGCCTGTCACTTGTATGTATCGGATCACAACAATGAATTCCCCTATACAGAAGGGCGAAACATTGGTTTGATTTCTGTTTTAGTTTGTTTCAGATCCACCTAAAGCATGGCGTAATGTCTTTAGCAGTTGAACGGACATTCAACGAGAGGCAGCAAGTTGGGTTGAAAGCTGGTTGATCTCGCACCCCGCAGCTTTTGCGAATTAAAAGAGCTGTACATCAGAGCCTGGCATAGACGACTTGTCAGCTTTTTCTTCAGGATGGGGATAAAGGCAACCCTGATTTGACGTCCTGTAGAGCAGAGGCATGGCAGGTTGGTTTACATACAATTGATCCCACTCCAGATAGGTAAACATAGCTACCATAAGGATGGTTTGTATATATTTATGGCAACAGATTACCTTGATGTTGCAGTAGAATTTCAAACCTACCTCATACTTGTATATTAAAGCAGGTTAAAAATTCTAGAATTTTTTAATTAATGAAAGTCACAGAAGTGACTTATGCGTGTATGATGTGATCGGAATGACTAGCTTAATTCAGCCGAACAACACCTGAAGTTCTTTTTTTGTATATGGGAGAAAACGAATATTCGTCTCTTTGTTTTCTCGGATGGAAGAATGACATTAGATTTATGAATGCACCGTTAACGGCTGGCACACTACCACAACCTGGGACCAATCAGAAAGCCGTATTATACCAAAAATATGGTTCTAGCGTATCAGCATAACTCGCTGAAATTGACAGTACAAAGTAACAACTCTGTTTGTTCACTTTTTTTCATCTTAACTGCGAGCGTGACGGGGGTAGAGCTTGCTTATCTGATGCCTTCTAAATTGTTTGTAGGATAATA